TTGGGAATTGTTCCTTTTTTCTCACCTATTGATCTCTTCCTTATATTATCAACATGTTGACGAATGACTTTTCCATCTGATAATAAGATGTGATAGGACAATGGACCTGTAACTTTGCTAACTTTACCCGGAAGCCATTCAGTATTCTTGGCAGAGAAATCTCTCACATATACTGCATCACCTATAGCAAAAGAACAAACTTGTTTCTTTTTCTTTTGTACCATAGCCTCCTGGTTTTTCTCTACCTGAATAGATACATCTGGAATCATTAAATCCAGTTGGCAACGTGGTTTCCTATTGAAAAGGAATTCAAATGGTGATATATTTGTTACAGGGTGAGGTGTGATACGATAACGAAATAGAAATTTCTGAATACGATTTTGAATAGAGTTCCCTTGTATCTTCACAATACTGCGTTTAAAAGTCTGAACAGCACGTTCAGCCAGCCCATTTGTTTGGGGGTGATATGGTGCTGAAGTAATGTGCTTTATACCATTTTCCTTACAAAACTTCTTGAACTTTTCACTGGTAAAGGTTGGACCATTATCACTAACTATTGTACGGGGTAACCCAAAAGAAGCAAAAATATTATACAACTTGTCAATCGTACTGTCAGCAGTGATAGAAGACATCATGGAGACATCTATCCATTTAGTACAAGCATCAACTACGACTAAATACATATGTCCTAAAAATGGTCCAGCAAAATCCAAATGTAACCTGGTCCAAGGTTGTGATGGCCAATTCCAACAATGAGGTGGAGCTGAGGCTGGTTTAGCTTGTACTTTCTGACATATTTCACAATGTTTAACAATATTCTCAATATCAGAATCCATGCCAGGCCACCACATATACCCACGAGCTAGGCCCTTCATTCTTGATGACCCATCATGAGTGTCATGTAGATAGTCTAGTAACAGTTTACGAGAGGAAGGAGGAACAATGAGGCGAGATCCCCACAGCAAACATCCATGCATTAAGCTCAATTCTTGAAACCTTCGAATATAAGGCTGTAATCTCTGATCATCTGTATTAGGGAATTGTCCCATGCTGACATATCTTTTTACTTGGCCTAAAATTGGATCTTTCTCAGTTTCCCTCTCAATTTGTCCAGCAGTTACAGGGGCTGGTACAAGATAATTTATAAGCTGAATTAGTTCTCCAGGGAGATGATCTGAAAATGTTGTGACTGGTCTAGGCAGTCTACTTAATGCATCAGCATTAGCTAGTTCATGCCCTGGTTTATATTTAATACTATACTGATAAGTGCTAAGTGTTAAGGCCCACCTCTGCAGTCTTGCAGATGCCATAACAGGTACTGGTTTGGTCTCATTAAAGAGATATGACAAAGGCTTATGGTCTGAACAAATGACAAATTTACGACCATATATATAACTGTGAAATTTTTTTACTCCAAATACAATGGCTAATGCTTCTTTATCCAGTTGAGAGTAACGTTTCTCAGCTGATGTCAGGCTTCTAGAAGCAAAACTAATAGGACGCTCTGAGCCATCACTCATTTTATGAGACAATACTGCTCCAATCCCGTAAGGAGAAGCATCACAGGCTAATATGATAGGCTTGCTATCATCAAAATGAATAAGCAATGAGTTTTGTTGCAGTAATTCTTTAGCCTGTTTAAAAGCATTTTGTTGAGCTGTATTCCACTGCCAAGCAGTGCGTTTCTGCAATAGCTTATATAACGGAGCTAATAATGTGGAGAGATTCGGCAAAAACTTAGCATAATAATTCAGCATACCCAAAAATGCTCTAAGCTCCGTAAGACATGTCGGTGTCTTTGCTTCTTGTATAGCTTGAACTTTGGATGCTGATGGCTTAATACCTTCCTTGGTTATTGTATAACCCAAGTACTCAACTTCTGGGGCTAGAAAAATACACTTCTGTTGCTTCAATTTAAGACCCACTTCACTTAATTTCGATAAAACTACTTCCAAATTTTGTAAATGCTCTTCAATCGTTTTGCCCGTAACTAGTATGTCATCTATGTATACAATGACACCATTGCTACCTTGAAATAGGGTATCCATGCACCGCTGAAAAATAGCTGGTGCCGATGTGATCCCAAAAGGCACTCTGTTAAACTCGAATAACCCCTTGTGGGTATTTACAGTAACGTATTGCTTTGAACTATCTGATAGCGGTAACTGTAAATAAGCTTGAGCTAAATCAAGCTTTGTAAAAGCTACACCTCCTGCTAATGCAGACAAAAGGTCTTCAATTTTTGGAAGAGGATATGATTCAATGTGAGCTGCTTGGTTAATAGTTAATTTGTAATCCCCACATATACGTACTGAT